TTCTGTTCATCCTATCAAACTGCCTCAGAGTCCCACCTAAGTGGTCTTTCTCTTCCTCTCTTTTTGCCCTCCTTTTCCCCAAATCCAGATCCCACTTAGCCTCCACGCCCAGCCCAAATGCTCACCTTATACCTTACCTGATCCTCTCTTAATTTATGTCTCTGATCTGTAAAATGGTGAGAATTACACTATCATACCTAATTCATAGCATTATATAATATTAAATGAGATAATGCATGTTACTTGCTTAGCACAGTGCCTGGTACATAGAAGGACCCAATAAATGCTAACTGTTTTACTTTACATACCTCTCTTAATATTCTTAACTTTCTACATAGCCTTATTTGTGTTTTATCTAAATTCTAAATTCATTAAGCTTTGGTGCTATGTATAATTTATCTTTCAACATTCCCCAGCCATTATATATACATAGTCTCATATTAGGCTTACCTATTTATATTTTTCACACTACATGTTACATATAGATTTTTCATACATTTATATTTTCACACATGTATATTTTATACTATTCTGAAAAGATTGTATAGATAAAATGTGTAACTATATATTTACATATTTGATTCCTATATTTACCATTTGTTGCCTGAATAAATACAGTATAAGTAAGTTGTGACCACACAATCATGAATCCTACACTCTGTGTCCTGTTGAATCAGTTTAACTACAGTTGCATATTTCCTAGTCTATTCCTCCTAACCTATTCCTTTCTCTATTGGGAAAGAGCTGCATAAAAACTGTTCCACTCTTCTGAGCAGACACATTACTCTTGTTTGGCATACTCATGAACAACAAAAAATCCTAGCTAAAAGCCACAGAACAAATAGCCATTTTAGTACTGAGACCAGGCACTTCTTTTGCCGTGGGGGCTGTCAGTCCTAACAGAGGGACTGCCAAAAGCATTTTGGGTTGTCATGGCGGAAGATGTTCCTCAGCATTTCTCCTTGCTCACCCTCAGCTGACTTCACACTACACGTTTCACTCATGTTATATGTACATAGATTGTTCAGTCCCCCTAATCAGACCATCAGTAGGATAGAATCTAGGGCTTCTGTCTCATTATTGTCCAAATTACCTGACCTACTAAAAGTTTATGTCAGAGAAAGAAGCCAGACCCAGGGGTGCATGCTGAATTATTCTGTTTACATACGGTATTATCAAAACAGGTAAAAAATTAATATATCTGTTTGAAGTCAAGGCAGTGGTTACTCTGGGGAAAACATAGTGGCTGAAAGGAACTAATAAAAACGTTTCTGGGTGTTGGTAATGTTCTATTTCTTGATCTGTGTGCTAGTTATTTAGTTGTGTTCAGCTTGTGAAAATTCATCAAGCTTAAGATATACTCACTTTTCTGTATCATTATTTTACTTTATTTCAATAAAAAATTTGGGTTTTGTGTCAGTTCTGTCTGAAGTAAATGGAAAACTTGGATCTTGGGCATCTTTTAATCAAAGTTCTTTTTAGTGTCATTTTAAAGATTTTGTTATATGTCTCAACCTCCTGGAATGAGGCAGACAGCATGTTTTTATTGCACAGATTTCTTATGTGCCCTTCATTTATGTTTTAAATTTATTTTCAATCCTGATGGATTCTATCAGCCAACCAAACTTATGTCAGAAGTTAGAGTTAAGTCCTGTATTTCCACCTTCTTTAGAATATCCTCTACAGAAAATGACTTTTACAGGGAAGAGAATGTGCCCGGGATGCCACTCTGAATTGTCTCCTTCTTCCATATTATGAAAGAATTACAAATTAACATTCCAACTCCAGAGATCAATAACTACAATATGATAGAGACAACAGTGGAAAGAATGTCCTCAGATTTAATTTACTAGCAGGAAAGAGCACTCAGAGAAAAAAGACTAAGAACACTGAGCTCTCTTCTACAACAATGGAAAGACCACTTGCTGTCATATAAATGAAGGCGGGCTAGTACAAAACATTTATTTGCTACTATTTAACCTCCCCACCCTGGCTATTTTGGCCCAACAGGAATTTTATCCACTAGTTGATGTGGACCCTGGAGTCCATCAAAAAAAGTTGCTTTTCCTATTTGGAATAATAATCATTCCTTCTGAGGAAACTAACTGACCCCAGGTATTGAATCACTGACAAACAGATTACTATTATGAAACTTGAATTTAATCAGCGGTCAAAGGAAAGATGCTCCCTCAAAATTGGGCCAATGTGAACCAAGGAGAGAGACCATTATAGCAGCAATTAGATTTCACTACTCATCCTCAAGGATTGCTGAGTCCTCTGAGCAACAAAGGAAAAGAATTCAACTATCAATAATGAAAGGCATTTTGAAAGTAACTGGAAAAGAAATGGCCCCCACTCTTCCTTTCAAGGGTATATAGTGTTAGGACTAGTCTGGCAGCAAAAACAATTAGTGAAAACATGTAACAACTGTAATGCACTAAAAGGCGATCCTTAAACTTCAGCATGTTCCCAATTGCCAAAATAACATAATTTCACAGACTCCTGTCTCTAAATAGCTTCAAACTTGCCCCTAACAACCTTCATTGCAGCCTTTTTCTGCAAACCTTTGCAGGTTGCACCTGTTTCACACAGCACCTCTGGAAGCAAACTTGGAGAAGAGAAGGAATATGGATATTTAAAGTAACACAATACATTTTATACCCCCCCAAAAAAGTTTACCAATTTAGTGTAAAAAGGGAGGTCTAGTTGGGAACTCAGAGAAGGGGAAACAGACATCTGGCTAACTCCCAAGGCAGAAATCATGACTCATCAAGGCTTTCAGAGGGGACAGGAGACTGCATTTGTCTTGAGTTCACCTTCAGGCCAATAAAATGCTCTCTGAACTGAGACTGGGAAACTTGAGTGTTTGTCCTGTGTCTGACAACGGGCTGTGAGGCCTTCTGCAAAACCCTAAAACCCTCTGGATCTGTTTCCTCATCCGCGGATGATCTCTGAGAAAGGTCCCATTTGGCTTGAACAGACTATACAGTATGTAGTTGAGATTTCCAGTTCCCATAACCTACAAAGGGCTGGCCCACTGGGGGGAGCTGCAGACCATCCCTCTCCTCACAAACTCCGAGGCCCATGGGCCCAAATTCTGGGAGCTGCTGATGTCCTGCAAGTAGGTGGGGAGAGGTTTCAAAGCCCACCTCTCTATAAAAGGGGGCTGCAATTGCAGAGTCCAGTACCTACAGACCCTGAACCCCGCGATTCCAGAAGTACCCTCCACATCTCCACCCCCTGCCCCAGGGTTTAGATGCTCCAGGGATGAGGGTCTAGGAAGCCTGGAGAGGGGGCGGGGCGGGGCGGGAGAAGGGAAGAAGAATACAGAGCAGAGGTGCAGGGTGCCTGTCTTCCAGGAGAGCTGGAGAGATCCGGAGAGGTACTGGGAACACACCAGGCGAGGGAGAGGTGCGTATGGCAGGGAAGGAGGATAGCAGCCCTCATCTGTTCCTGACTCCCGTAGCTTGGCTCGCGGGGGTCCGAGGCCAGCGCCCCTAGTCTCTCTGGTACGGAGCAAGGGGCGTGCCTGGGAGCGGAGGCAACACAGCCCGGCCCCGGGCGCCTGGCTGCGACTGGTCAGTGCCAGACCGCCTGGGCCCCAAACCTTCAACCCCGTCCGCTAGCGAGCTCAGCAAGACAAAACAAACTGGTGCGGGCTTCCTGTTGTGCAACCCAGCCCTGAGTAAGTCGGGCCGAAAGAGCCAATGCTGGCCCACCGCTGGGAAGCCCTGGCTACCCGGACCGAAGACAGCCCAGCCTGAGCCGGAATCCAGAAGGAACCACGTTCCGGCTCGCCACTCCGGGAGCGCACGGCCCCCGCAGGGCCAGTGTCCTCACCCTCAGGTGTCCTTTCACTTCTTGCCTCCCAAATACCCCCAACAAGTCGAGGGCGCGACCCGTGAAGCCAGAAACAACCTTTCCCAAAGTTTCTCCCTCCGGGTACCTAATTGAATCATCCATAGGATGACAAATCTGTCAGGGCCAAGTTTTCCAGACACTTGGGTGACTTCCTCATCCCTGAGGTGACTTGTCAGCTCCAGTGAGTAACTTGGAAGTGTCGCTCCGGGCAAGGTGTGTGTCTAGGAGGGAGCCGGCTGCTCACTCACGCTTTCCAGAGCGCAGCTCTCGGCCGACTTCAAAATACACACAGGGTCATTTATAGGGGCTGGAGCCATACGCGGGACAAAGTCCTGAAACTGAGACATTTTCCAAACAGTGCTGACATTTTGTCGGGCCCCATAAAAATGTAAACGGGAGGTGATGAACCCCGGGTAGGGAGTGTGCGCGTCTACATGTGTCTGCGCCTTTTGCAGCGTGGGAGGTTATAGTTATGATCAGGAGGATATGGGTCACCAGACAGTCCTCGCGACGAATTAAGGGACCCCCAATCCCAGGACCTGTTGGAGCAATGGGGACTTCGGCTTGAGCAAAGACACGAGCGTGGAAAACAACCTTCTTGAAGCTCCACAAACACGTGGAACTGGCAAAGACAACTACAGCCCCGTGTTCACGAGACCTCAGGTCACCCCATCAATTCCCACTTTCCTAAAGTTTCCCTTCAGTGAAGACTCATGAGTGGCATGCACAACCATGCCCACGCGCCCTGTGCTGTAACTTTCCCTGATTACGGAGCCCTCTGGCCCCTGTAGTTGAAAAAAAGAAACACAAAAAATAAAAAAAACTCCCTAATTAGAGAAACTTTTAAACCTTGTTGATTTCCTTTCCGTTCTCTACACTGGACGCTCTTGGGCAACTGACAAGAACACAGCTTGATTCTGTCTTGAGGGTCGCTATCTGAGTAAACAGATCTTTTATTAGAGAATCTGGGGGGTGGGGATGCGCGTATCTTTAAAACCGCGCAAACAACACCAGCTCAGCCTGGAAAACTATTTCTAATCCTTAGTTTGTGTCTCCCAGCGTTAACTCCCCCACACTCTCAAGCGCCGGTTTCATCCCCTCTGTCGCCAGCGAGCAAAGTTCCTATGGCATCCACTTACCAGGTAACCGGGATTTCCAAAACAAAGCCGGAGTGCGGGTCCCTTCCCCGGGCCAGCCTGCGCGAGTGACAGCGGACGGCCAGCGCTGGCGAGAAGAAACTTGGGGCTCCAGCCCTTCAGCACGCTCCGCGGGTTCTGCCTCCTTCTGAAATGAAAACTCCCATCCCAGCCTGGGGACGGAGCGCGGAAACCCGGCCCAAGTGCCCTGAGTGCGCGCGCGTGTGCGAGGGCAGCAGCCGCGGGGGGGAAGGGGGAGGCGAGGAGGCAGAAGGGGGGTGGCTGGACCCTCGGCATCAGCTCATTCCCCCCCCCCCTACACACCCACCCACACACACACGCAAATAGTGTTTTTACAAAGTTGAGTTTCGACTTTGTGTCTCGCCTGTCCAGCTCATCCTCGCCCTGGGCCGGGGGATGCGTCTGGGGCCGGCCTGGGATACTGGCTAATTGGTTTCGTCGGGTTCCATCGGGGAAGTGCTGGTGCGAGCCTGGACGGCTACGGCTACGGGCAGCGCGGGGAGGGGCAGCGCTGGTGCCCGTGCGCGCCGCGCTCTGGGCTGCCCGAGCGGCGCAGTGTGGACGCGGCCACTGGGATAGGGGAAGGGGGAGGAAGGGAGGGAGGCGGCCCTGGGAGGCGTGTGGATGTTAGTGCGGCTGCGAGGGCCGGCCTGCAGCCAGCTGCTTCCTGAGTGTGAGCCGAAGGGGGAGGGGTTAGAGGTGGGGGCGGGCTCGCTGGTCACCAGGCTGGCCAATTCGAAGGCTGAGCTTGTGTCTCCCTCTCAGCGCATTTAACACACTCACTCCTAACCTTGCACCAAAGAGTCCAGAACTCCAGAACAGGGTAGCAAGAGCAGGGAGACACTTTGCCTTCTTCTTGGGCCTTATTTGATGAACTGGCTTTTTTCTTTAACATGAAAAAGTGTGAGCATTCATATTGTATTTGATGTCAAGTCCCAAAGAACAAGAGAAAAAACAAACAGAAATTAAACGGAAAGAGTAAAAATTAATAAGTGAAAAATGGCAAAAGTGTCTTTCTAATATACAGGATTGGATGCACATAACCGGAAATGGATAGGTGAAGCACAGAGGATGCTTTTGGCATATTATTAAAATAAGGCATAGGCAGAGGAGAGAGGAAGGTAATAGAAGTGTTACAAAGATGTAAAATTCTAAACAGGCTGCTAGGATTGGAGGCACATTCCCTGCTTATGTTGCATCTATTAGCAGTACTTTCTCCTTAAGAATTCAACATCCTCAGCTTCATGCCCCCACTTAAGCTGTGACCCCAGCCCTTCTACTTGATTTGACCAGAGCCCTGAAGAGGTTGGTCAACTGTTAGTGGTTCCCCACATGTACTGCCACAGATGCACAGACTTCCATGTTGGGAATCAATATATGTAAAGTACACATATAAAGCACAATGTATATAAAACAAGTATCCTTGTTAGGCCTTTCTGCAGTGAGAGAATTATTCACTCTCATGGATGAAATGAAGAAGGATATCTCAAGACACTTTGAATTTCACCAGTCTTTATATTCTATTCTAGGGCTCTCATTCAAATATAAATTAGCATTTGGGTAGTAGATGCTATGATCAAAATAGAAGCCCTCAAGTACACATGTGACCCACCCCAGAAAAGCAAACCAAAAAGACTGACCATTTTATCTTATTTCAGAAAGAATATTATTAAATTTGGTCTGCATCCATGATATTGACCCAAAAAGGGCCAATTTCACAGAACTTCTTATGTCTTATTATGACCTACTTTTCAAGACTCCCTTTAGGGAAGGTGTGTTTTTTCCCCCTTTCCTAAAGACAAACTAACCAGAATATCTGTCAGCAGAAGAGGAGGGAGGGAAATAAATAAAAAGTGATTAGATATATCATTCTGCCAATTTTCCAGTTTCTCCCTCTCTTCTTCATTTCCTTTTAAATGCAAGTATCCAAGCCGAAGATGGCAATCAATGAGTTCAACCACACACAAGAAAAGAAAATACTAATAAAATGAAGCATGCAGCAAAATCACAAAAACAAAGAAACCAAGTACTGGAAATCGCCATGATTATTCCATTGTGGCTAGTTATTGCAACATGCCTGACATTCAAATAAACTCTTCCTCATTAACTCCAGCCTTCAGGAGCAGAGCAAGATGGGAACACTGACCCTTCAGTGCATCATGGGAAATTCTCTTCATCCAGATTCTCGTGCTGTATGGACTGCTCCCCAGGAATAAGACAAGGCTGGGTGGAGACTGCGAAAAATCTTTCCAATGTGCTTCAAATATCATTTCAAATACAATGATGTTGATGCCTGAAATGATATCCTAGTGGCTTGCAGAAGCTTCTAAAACTTCCAACTTGGTCGGAAGAGCTTAGCTGGAAGAGAAAAATATAGTGCTACTCCCTACTTTAATCAATGGCTCATGGAAATAAAACACTGGAAAAGTTATTAGTCATCAACCTAGAGATCCCCAAAATTATCTTCATTTATAAGAGCCTAAAGGTGGGAATGTCATTTTTTTTTACTGAGGTGGAATTTTCATGAGCCTCTAACATTCCTAAGACATTTACCACTAAATAGGTACAGTGCTGTGGTTGACTTTTTTTTTTTTTTGCCAGGAATGTAGATATGCAATGTCCTTACATTCCATGGGATACAGTAAAAATGCAGTGGTTCCAATACAACCCTGGAGTGACTCAGAATAAGATCTGCACCTCTTCTGGACTGAATCCTTTAACATGGACTTAGGGAAGGGAGAATAATGAGAGATGGTGGGAAAGGAAATAGTGTAATTCAGCAAAGACATTCTCCCTTCCCCATGAGCTCTCTATCGTGCTTAGGAATCATACTTAGGAATCATACACACACACAACCACACACACACATCTTCCCACTCTGGAGCCTCAACTGCTGGCTCAGATAGGCTGATTCCGTAGACAGGGCCCTGCTGCCAGCTTGAGTCCAGTTCTCATTCATTTGAGAAACATTCAGTGAGTACTTATTCTGTCACAGGATTAGGGGTAAAGGAATTAACACTTGTAGGCACTTTGCATGGAAGGATGTTACATAAAGTATTTTGCCCGATTCCTGGGATATAGTAAACACTCAAGAAATGGTGGCTTTTTGCAGACATTATCTCATCTATTCCTCAAAGCAATCTTATGCGATGGCCACTGGTAGTCTCCTATTTTTAAGCAAGGAAGCTGGAGCTCAATAAACAGTTAAAAGGAGTGAAAGGTAGAGCTAGATTTGCCAGTCTAGAAGCCCCAAGTTCTTTCAACATTGATGTCCTACAAAATAACTGCCTGCTTTTTAAATGTATAGAAAGTACACTAAACCTATATAAAGTACAAGGCATCTTATGATTAATGTCAGGTGAGTACCAACAAGTGCGGAAGAGGCGGGAATAATTTTCTACAACAGTACAGGGAATAGTTCAGCTGTTTGAGCTGGACTTCAAACAGTGGGTAGGAAATTGATAAACAAAGAAGACCATTCCAAGTAGAGGAATCTGTATCAGAAAGAGCATAAAAGACATGGATCCTGTGGATCTGCTCACAAAGCTGGAGTACAAAATCAGGACATTCACAATCTCATAGCTGTAGCCCTGAAACACAGTGGACTCCCAGTGGGAGCATCCTAACAGCAGACTTTCAGAACTGTTATTTGTGTCTCTCTGAGTGATTTGACAGCAAACTATTTACACACTTACAAGGAACTAAGATTAGATTCCCCTGTAAAGTGTCTACAGAGAGAGGTTTTTAACCCCAGAATGAGGATAAGTTGAGCTAACAGCACCAGTGATCGTATGCCCAGCTATAAAAACACACACCCACACAGACATGCGCGCGCGCGCGCACACACACACACACACACACACACACACACAAGCGGGCAAGATTCCAGTTATATAGAAATGCAGTGGAAAAAGTCAGTATTTGCCAACTTAAAGAAAGCAACTAAATGTGTAAAATGGAAAATCTCCATTTTACCTTCCTGAGTAGTACAGTGGAATGTTATCAGTGCTTCATACCCTAATAAAACTTTTAAGTAAATCTTTTTACTAATTTTGCCACAAGTACAGTTGGCCCAGATTCTCCTTCTCCTGCTTACACATCAGTGATGCAATTTTTTAAAATTATGATTGACATCCATTATATTCATACCTCTTTTCCTAAGGTCAAACTGTAAATCAGAATCTAAACTGAAATGTGAAATATTTTACTCCATAGAATGTCTCCACAACTTTTTTGATTGGTAAAAGTCTTCTTCCTATTTTATACAAACCCAAATGAGATGCATCTAATATTCTACAAAGGTTGATTTTATATTCCTTGACATATTACAAAGGTATATGTACAAAAAGTTGATTAAAATAAAAATAAATTCATAATATACACAATATTCCACAGGCAGTCAGTTTCCTACTCTTTTACCACTTAGCATCTATGCTGGCCATTTATATATAGTGTTGAAATTATTTACCTGATCATTATGCTATCTTACCCAGAACTGCCTTCTCTAAGAACCTTCTAATATCAAAATTTATATTTCTTCATAAGCCTTCCATGGCCTCGCAACATTACTGGGCACTAATAAGTATTTAATACTAATTGAGTGAATTAATGAATGAATGAGGAAGTAAAAGAATGGTTTCCCCACTCTCAGATATTATAAATAGCACTAACAATTGTCCTTGTGTGTATATATGTGATCATTTCAATACTACAAATAAGTCTAAACACCTGTCATTCTCGTTCTGTGTCCCCAAGCTCTTCACTGTGAACTGAAGATTAAAATACTACTTCCTATTTCTTAGGGAATACAATTCAGTCTATTCAATACTTAGAGTTAGGAGGGTGAGCTTCCCCTCCATTGCCCTGTGATCCTTCACTATCTGACACCCCACTACCTCCTTAACACCATAGCACACCAGGTCATTTGCACCATACCTTGAATTCTACCAAAAAGAAATATATGTACTAAATTATGGGGAGAGGAAGGGAAATATAGAATGAGGTTGCACCAAGGAAGATGATTATTTTTAATGAGAAAAAATAAAGAAGGAAGAATAGCATTAGGATACCATTGGGATGATTGAATAAACAAACAAGTTTTGGGTAGAATTAAGCTCTGGGGGAAAAAAGCAATTCTGTGAACTTTCAGACCCCTGACTCACCTCAGGTTCTAAATACACCTGCAAGGAGTCTGAATACATTTAGAAACTTTCTACAAATTCTAAATCCCCATGATGCTAAAGCACTGGGGGAATGGGGGGTGGGGGTTACATATATAAACATTTCTATCCCCTTTTAA